AGGATGTCATGTCGCAGCTTTATAAGACTTTGGTTAGGCCACCCTTACAGTATCGTGATCAGTTCTGGTCACCACATTACAGGAAGGATGTGGAAGCTTTGGAGAGGGTGTAGAAGAGGTTTACCAGGATGCTGCCTGGATTAGAGGGAATGGGCTACAAGGAGAAGCTAGAAAAACTCAGGTGGAGGCTGAGGGGAAACTTGATAGAAGTCTATAAAATTGAGATGCATAGATAGGGTTGACAGAATCATTTACCCCAGAGTAAGGGGCATGCATTTAAGATGTGAGGGGCAGTTTTTATACAGAGTGGTAGGATTCTGGATCACCAGGGGTGATGGTGGAGGCAGATACAAGGCGTTTAGGAAACTTTTAGATAAGCACATGAATATGTAAGGAATGGAGGGATACGGACCAAGGGCAGACAGAAGGGATTAGTTTCATTTGGTGTAATAGAGCTGTACAGCACGGAAACAGATCCTTCAGTCCAATCTGTCCTTGCTGACCCTATATCCTAAACAAATTTAGTCCCATTTGCCAGTGTTTGGTCCATATACCTCTAAACCCTTCCTATTCATATACCCTTCCAGATGCATGTAAAATTGCAACATTTAAACAGCCTCCACCACTTCTTCTGGCAGCTCATTCCATACACAAGCCAACATAAAAAAGTTGCCTTTTAGGTCCCTTTTAAATCTTTTCCCTCTCACCTTAAACCTATGCCCCTCTAGTTTTGGATTTCCCCCACACCAGGGAAAAGACCTTGTCTATTTATCCTATCCATGCCTCTCATGATTTTAGAAACTTCTCTAAGGTCACCTCTCAGCCTCCGACACTCCAGGGAAAATAGCCCCAGCCTCTCTCTATAGCTCAAACCCTCCAAATCCAGCCACATCTTTGCAAATCTTTTCTGAACATTTTCACGTTTCACAACATCTTTCCTATAGCAGGGAGACCAGAATTGAACGCTGTATTCCAAAAGTGACCCTAACCAATGTCCTGTACAGCTGCAACATGACCTTCCCAACTCCTATACTCAGTGCACTGACCAATAAAGGCAAGCGTACCAAACACCTTCTTCACCATCTTGTCTATCTGTGACCCCACTTTCAAGGAACTATGAACCTGCACTCAAGTCTCTTTGTTCAGCAGCACTCCCCCAGGACCTTACCATTAAGTGTATAAGTCCTGCCCTGATTATCTAAATTAAACTTCATCTACCACTCCTCAGCCCTTTGGACCATCTGATCCTGTTGTACACTGAGGTAACCTTCCTTGCTGTCCACTACCCCTTCAGCTTTGGTGTCAGCTTACTTACCATACCTTCTATGTCAAGTTTGGCACAAAATGGTGGGCCGAACATCCTGTTCCTGTGCTGCACTGTTCTATATTCTATGATTCTGGTGGTACTTCTTCACCAGCAATTTCTTTCATTTGTTTCAGATCCGCAGTTCTTTGTCTTATTCATCTGACTGGGTCTGGGGTGGTTAGAGAGCTGGAACTAAATAGGGTCGGTTGCATGTGAGAGAAGATTTAGAAAGGACAAGGCATTTTTGTAGAGCAGCAATGCAGGTCACAACCGAAGTGTGACAGGAATGAATAGAGTACAACACCAAATAAGGTCAGTGTATGGAAAAACAAAACAGTAAAAAGACAAAGGCTCTTAGTCTTCCTAGATGGATGGATTAATAGTCTTTACAGAGATGCGATTATAATGTGACCACCACTCAGACCTACACATTCACAAATACTCAACATCTCTGCAAAGGGAGAGAAGCATGTTCATAAGAACCTAAATAGTGAGCTTTCCTGAACAAAATCAGAACCAATGGGTATCAGGGGGCAAACACTCCGCTGGTTGGAGTCATACCTGACACATAGGAAGATGGTGGTGGTTGTGGGAGGTCAATCATCTCAGCTCCAGGATATCTCTGCAGGAGTTCCTCAGGGTAGAGTCCTAGGCCCAACCATCTTCAGCTGCTTCATTAATGACCTTCCCTCCATCATAAGGTCAGAGGTGGGGATGTTCGCCGATGATGACACAAGGTTCAGCATCATTCACAACTCCTCAGGTACTGAAACAGTCCATATTCACATGCAACAAGATCTGGACAATATCCAGGCTTGGGATGACAAGTGGCAAGTGACATTCACACCACACAAATGCCAGGCTATGACCATCACCAATAAGAGACAATCTAACCACCATCCCTTTACATTCAATGGTGTTACCATCACTGAATCCCCACTATCAACATCCCGGGGGTTACCGTTGACCAGAAACTCAACTGGACCCACCACATAAACACAGTAGCTACAAGAGCAGATTAGAGGGTGGGATTTCTGCAGCGAGTAACTCCTGTCCTGTCCTGTCTCCCCCTCCAAGCCTGTCCCACCATCTATAAGGCACAAGGCAGGAGGGTGATGGAATACTCCCCACTTGCCCCTGGATGGGGGCAGTTCCAACAACATTGAAGAAGCTCGACACCATCCAGGACAAAGCAGCCCCCACTCGATTGGAACCACATCCACAAACATCCCATTCCCTCCCCCCACCGACGCTCAGTCGCAGCAGTGTGTACCATCTACAAGATGCTCTGCAGAAATTCACCAAAAATCCTCAGGCAGCACCTTCCAAACCCACAACCCACTTCCATCCAGAAGGACAAGGGGCAGCAGATACATGGGAACACCACCCCCTGCAAGTTCCCCTCCAAGCCACTCCCCATCCTGACTTGGGAAATATGGAACATAGAACAGTACAGTACAACACAGGCCTTTCAGCCCATGATGTTGTGCTGACCTATTATCCTACTCTAAGATCAAACTAACCTGTATACCCTACATTTTACTATCATCCATGTGCCTATCCAAGAGTTGCTTAAATGTCCCTAACATATCTGACTCCACTACCACTGCCGGCAGCGCATTCCACACACCCACCACTTTCTGTGTGAAGATCCTACCTCTGACATTTCCCCATACCTTCCTCCAATCACCTTAAAATTATGCCCCTTTGTAATAATTATTTCCACCCTGGGAAAAGGTCTCTGGCTGTCCACTCTGTCTATGCCTCTCATCATCTTGTACACCTCTATCAAGTCACCTCTCATCCTTCTTTGCTCCAATGAAAAAAGCCCTAGCTCCCTCAACCTTTCCTCATAAGACCTGCCCTCCAGTCCAGGTAAATATCCTCTGCACCCTCTCTAAAGCTTCCACATCTTTCCTATAACGAGGTGACCAGAACTGAACACAATATTCCAAGTATGGTCTAACCAGGGTTTTATAGAGCTGCAGCATAACCTTGCAGCTCTTAAACTCAATTCCCCTGCCAATGAAAGCCAACACACCACACACCTTCTTAACAACCCTATCAACTTGGGTAGCAACTTTGAGGGATCTATGGACGTGGACCCCAAGATCCCTCCATTCCTCCACAGTGCCAAGAATCCTGCCATTAACCCTGTATTCTGCATTCAAATTCGATGTTCCAAAATGAATCACTTCACACTTTTCTGGGTTGAATTCCATTTGCCACTTTGCCCAGCTCTGCATCCTGTCAATGTCCCAGCACAACCTACAACAGCCCTCCAGGCTATCCACAACTCCACCAACCTTTGTCTCATCAGCAAACTTACTAACCATCCTGCCATTTCCTCATTGTTTATAAAGATCATAAAGAGTAGAGGTCCCAGAACAGATCCCTGCAGAACACCACTGGTCACAGAGCTCCAGGCTGAATAGTTTCCATCTACTACACCCTCTGTCTTCTATTGGAGAGCCATATATCCCCGTTCCTTCAATGTTGCTGGGTTAAAATCCTGGAATTCCCTCCCTAAGGGGACATTGTGGGTCAACCCGCAGCACATGGACTGCAGCGGTTCAAGAAGGCAGCTCACCCCCACCTTCTCAAGGGGGGCAACTAGGGACAGGGCAATAAATGCTGGGCCCAGATAGTGACACCCACGTCTCTAGAGTGATTTTTTTTTTCTAAAAAAAAGCGGTGAGAAACATATCTTGATTAGCTTTTACAACGTAGAATGTGTCTGGCTGGGTGCAGATAAGAAATAGCAATAAGAAATAACACTGGTTGTTATGGATTAAAGAGTCCCCTGACTGGGGTCGCAGAATAAGAAATAATTGGGTCTTGTGGAAGGAACGTCAATTCAGTGAATCAAATTGGGGGAAGGATAGCCTGAAGGATGAGTACAAAGGAGAGTACAACACAGGAACAGGCCCTTCGGTCCACTAAGCCTGCATTAAAACATGATGCCTTTTGATCCTAACAACCTTCTGTCTTGACACAGTCCATATCCTTCTATTCCCTGTGTATTCCCTCTGTATTCCTGTATCTGTCCAAGATGCCTCTTAAACATTGCTGTTGAAAAAGACCTTGACTATTCACCCTGACCATGCCCCTCACGATTTTAGAAACCTCTATAAAAAGGTCACGCCTCAGCCTCCAACAGTCCAGGGAAAACAGCTTCAGCCTATTCAGTCTCCACCATAGAAAACCACCCCACCCTCCACAATACTGCAACATCCTTATAAATCTTTTCTGAACCCTTTCATGTTTCACAACGTTCTTCCTATAGCAGGGAGACCAAAATTGAACGCAGTATTCCAAAAGTGGCCTACCCAATGTCCTGTACAGCCACAACATGACCCTCCCAACTCCTATACTCAATGCACTGACCAATAAAAGCAAGCGTACCAAACACCTCCTTGTCTACCTGTGACTCCACTTTCAAGGAACTATGAACCTGCGTTCCAAGGTCTCTTTGTTCAGCAACACTCCCCAGGACCTTACCGTTGAGTGTATAAATCCTGTCCCAACTGGGGAAAAATTCAACAGAAAAGGAGGACGACAACTCCCCAATTCAGAGGAAAAGTAGAGAATAAACATCAAATTCTCCAAAGCCAGGCAAGGTAGCCACTTGCACAGAATAGACACCAGCTCATTTTATTATTTTTTAAAGAGCATTTTTATTCCAAAAAAACCCGAGAAAAGATCTGGAACAAAATAATTCCCGCAGGATGTCATTTTGCATCTTTTATAGATTTTTCCCGCATAAATTTTTATCTTTAAAGTTATTCTAAATCTGATCTTTTTTTAAAAAAAAAACAAAAATGGCAAATTGAAAGGAAGGAGGGGGTGGGTGGGTTTGAAATTTGGAGACCTGCCCCCCTCCACCTCAATAAAGCAGATGGCCTATGCAAGTTGTGTTTGTTTTAATTATTAATTTATCTCCATTTAAATTCTCTTCTTTTTGTGTATGGGAAGGGAGGAATAGGGTCGGAAGTAATATAAAAGAGCACAGGCAGAACCAAACTATTTACAGGAAAACAAACAGCCAATTCCCTAACCCTCCCTCATCGACCCAGGTACATCTCCTCAACCCCACAGCTCTGGTGTGAAGTAGAAGGAATGGGCTTTATTTTCAGAAAATAAAACTCTCCCTTTGGGAGCGGGGGGACGGACGGTGAAGGGCTGGGGAGACACCCACACTCGGCACAGGCTGAGATCCAAGCCTTTCCTGGTCCATGTGTGGGTGTGTGTGGGGAGTGGGAGGGGGGCTCAGATCTGGTGACACTTTGAGTGTCGCAGGGATCTGTGACTGGGGACTTTTTTTTGTGACGAGGGTTGGGGGGGGAGGAGGCAAGGGATCCGAGTAAAACTCTAGGCCACAGCCGCAGTTCCTAAACCCTATGGAAAAATATATCTATCCCACCACATTCCCATCCTGTCCCATCCTGACCCCCCACCCCCACCCTCATGCCCACCTGATCGTTGACCAGAGTGAGACCTTTCTGTGCAAGACTTTAGCTACAAGCGACTCGAGAGTCCATCGCTCACTCTCCCTCTCTTTCCGGGAGATGCCGAGGAGGTTGGGAGCTCAAAATGAGCTGTGCCATCGCCAGCACATTGTGCTAATCTCCCAGGGTGCCTCTGCCACCAGTCTCCCTTCTCTTCATCGCTCAACATGTGCGGATCAGATTCATCCCAACTGAAGGAGAGAGAGAGACAGACAGACAGACACTAGAAGAAAGCTCAAAAAAAAAAGTTCAAACCCTGGAATTAAAAAGCAAAAAAAAAACCAAAAAAAAAAAAAAAAAAAAAAAACAAACATTTCCGTCTGTGAAACCCGAAGGGACCCACTGGTCTCGCTTGCTGTGTAGTCCTGCTATCTTCACCATCAACCTATATGTGAACAGGAGAGAGCGTGGCCAGATGCAAGGTCTGAGGGAGATAGAAGAAAGCTGGATCCTAGAGAGGCAAAGGCAGAGAGACAGACAGAGTGAGACAGTGAGAGAGAGAGAGACAGTGAGAGAGAGAGAGAGAGAGAGAGAGAGATGGAGGCAGAGAGAGAGAGAGAGGGAGGCAGAGAGAGGGAGACAGGAGAAGAGAAGAATATGGGGAATGGAGAGATAAGGACCAGTGCAGAATGGGAGAGAGTAAGAGGGAATGAAAAGGTGTAGAGTGTGAGAGTGAAGGAAGTGACATCTTCCAGAGGAGTGGGTGTACAGTGGGTTGTGGGATTTGGGGAGAGAAAGAGACACGGGCTCCTCTTCCCGATCCTCAGCTGATTTTGCGAATTTGCCGCTCCTCCGAGAGGCAGAAGAGACCATTTACAGAGAGTTCAGAAAGAAGCATCTCACAGGCTCCTTTTGAGATTTGCTTGCAGTTGTGCAGGTTAATGCAGGAGATGTTGCCAATTCTCTTCAGGTAATTGAGGCACTGGTCAGTCAATTTATTGCAGCCTGAGAGAAAGAGAGACACAGGCCGCCTTAGATTATGTTCTAACTTGGTTGTGCCTGGATGGGGGCAGCTCCAACAACACAAGAAGCTCGATGCCATCCAGGACAAAGCAGCCCCCAATCGATTGGCACCACATCCACAAACATCCCACTCCCTCCCTCACCGACGCTCAGTCGCAGCAGTGTGTACCAGCTACAAGATGCTCTGCAGAAATTCACCAAAGATCCTCAGGCAGCACCTTCCAAACCCACAACCCACTTCCATCCAGAAGGACAAGGGGCAGCAGATACATGGGAACACCACCCCCTCCCTGCAAGTTCCCCTCCGAGCCACTCCCCATCCTGACTTGGGAAATATATCCCTTTTCCTCCAGTGTCACTGGGTCAGAATCCCTGGAATTCCCTCCCTAAGGGACACTGTGGGTCACCCCACAGCACATGGGCTGCAGCGGTTCAAGAAGGCAGCTCACCCCCACCTTCCAAGGGGCAACTAGGGACAGGGCAATTCTGTGAAAGAATAAATTTAAAAAACACAACAATGATGTTGCAGCAGTGGTTAGTAGCACCACATTAAGATTATATATTAAAAAAAAAGTGTGGGCCGTTTAAGGGAAGGAAATGGCCTACAGTATTATCACTGGATTGTTAATCCATAGACCCAGGTAATGTTCTGGGGATCTGGGTTTAAATTTGACATGGTAGATGGTGACATTTGAATTCAATAAAAACAATCTGAAATTTAGAATTTAACGATAACCATGACTGCACTGTTGATGGTCGCCAAAACGGTATCTGGTTCACTTTGGATGGGACTCCAGACCCACAGCAATGTGGCTGACTCTGAACTGTCCCCCCCTCCACCCCCCAGGCAATTAGGGGATGGGTGACAAATGCTCGCCTGTTCTTATCCTGTGAACGAATAATAATAAAAAAACACAATCTTGACCATCTCAAAAGATTACCTCTTATTCTTGATTATGTCAAGTTGTATTCCACTGGGAAATCATCCACCTTCAGGAGATTGCAGCATCTTGCCGGTGTGCCAGTGTCAGCCTCCCAATTCTGTATCGGTGCCCCCCCACCCCCCTCCGCCCCCACACACACCCACCCCAACCCTGTCACCAGCTGCTGGCCTCCCCCTACCCCCCTCCGTCAGCACATCGCCGCCTCCCCCTACCGCCCTCTGTCAGCCCATCGCCACCTCCCCCTACCCACCTCCGTCAGCCCATCGCCGCCTCCCCCTACTGCCCTCCGTCAGCCCAT